ATAAATAAAATTAAAATTATTCTATTGCAAAACATAAAAGACTGAGTAAAAATACTGACAAAAAGAAAGTAAATTTTCCAAATGTACCTAATTTGATGACATCAAATGAACCAGTTTCCTAGATGCTGATTAACTCTGGGTCAAGGCATGCTTAAAATGTAAACTAACTTTACTGATCCATCCACAAAGTCTAGAGGTCCATCCATTCAGTCTAGTGGTTCACCCACTAAGTTTAGAGGTCCATCCACTAAGTCTAGAGGTCCATCCACAAAGTCTAATGATCCATCTACTAAGTCTAAAGGCCAAACCACTAAAACTAATGGTCCACCCACTAAGTCTAAAGGCCCACCCACTAAGTCTAGTAGTTGATCCACTACGTCTAGTGGTCCATCCACTAAGTCTAGTGGTACATCTACTTAGTCTTATGGTCCATCTACTAAGTCTAATGGTCCACCCAGTAAGTCTAGTGGTCTATCTATTAAGACTAGTGATCCACCCACTTAGTCTAATGATCCACCCAATAAGTCCAGAGGTCCACTCACTATGTCTAGTGGTCCACCCATTAAGTCTAGTGATCCACTCACTAAGTCCAGACCTCCACCCAGTAAGTCTAGTGTTCCATCTACTTAGTCTACTGATCCACTTACCAAGTCTAGTGGTCCACCCACTAAGTCTAATGGTCCACCCACTATGTCTAGTGGTCCACCCACTAAGTCTAATGGTCCACCCACTAAGTCAAGTGATCCACCCAATAAGTCCAGAGGTCCACCCAGTAAGTCTAGTGTTCCATCTACTTAGTCTACTGATCCACTTACTAAGTCTAGTGGTCCACCCACTTAATCTAATGGTCCACCCACTAAGTCTAGTGGTCCACCCACTAAGTCTAGTGATGCACCCACTAAGTCTAGTGATCCACCCACTTAGTCTAATGGTCCACCCAATAAGTCTAATGGTCCACCCAATAAGTCCAGAGGTCCATCCACTTAGTCTAATGGTCCACCCACTAAGTCTAGTGTCCAGCCACTAAGTCTAGTGACAGTGATTTTTCTACACTCAATTTAGGTCCGAATATCGGCACTTTCCCCTCTCAAAAATTACCGATTTTTTCCCAATTTTCAACTGCTTTTTTCCCAAAATCAAAACGTATTGTTTTGGTTATATTGAATTTTTTAAGTACGACTTATCTAAAATGGAACGCTATTGTTTTTGGTCATTCGGATGCTTAAAATAATGGCGAAATACAGCAGTTTATTTGTGTGTTTGCAAGACTTGGAAAAACACATCGATCATGTGGATGTCAAACTATCGTAAAAAATTTATAATATTCATGTGAATCGGTTAAACATAGCTTTATTTGTAAATTGCAAGTATTAGTAGTTCTACAACAAGCTTCCTTGACTTCACGAAAATTAAAGTGTTTCTTCATCCTGTAGATACGAGCATTGCAGAGAAATACAAAAATACATGCTTGTAAATCGTGTCAAGATTATCAGTCTAGTCGAACCCTCAAACGGGGGTAAACGGAAGTAGGAAAACCGTACCTTCAAACGGGGGTACGCGCATGCGCAGACACTCCAAAAAGTGCCGTTTTCACGGAAAAACGTGTGGTCCACAAAATATGCTCGGGCAACGTGATGGATTATTTCGTAGCTCTGTCTGTACTTAAATTTGATAGATTAAAGATGTTTAAAGAGATTGTATTGCGAAAAAGTATATGTTTATTGCAAAAATCGAGACTTTTTCTCTCCCAAAGTTAGCGTATTCTGTGCCTTGACATCCATGCTTGATACAACTTGATTTTTTATTCATAATTTGATAAAACGGATGAACAAACAAACAATAGTTTGTTTAAATTTGAACTACATATAATTCCTTTCCCCGGTATTACAAATTTTGTGTAATTAACATGTTATTTATTATTTTTCGACACTTTCTTGTGTGCCCGTCTGAATTTCCTCTGTCCTGTAAACAAACTTTTCTGCTTCAGAAATGAGGTAAATAAAAACGAAGAAAATTTTATTTTTTATTTTTTAATTGAAAACAAAGGTGTAGACAATTCGTTTTCGTATGTTTGTGATTTTTAAAAAAATATTTATTTTTTAAATAAGAAAAGTTATCGTTCTTGAATTCCACTTCCGCTTTAGAGCGTTGCATTAAGGGAAGGAAAACCCTCGTTTGGGGGTATACCCCCGTTTGAGGGTTTGACTAGCTGATTATTCCAGCTCCAATGCGAGCAATAACGAGAAATCGGGAATGATTTTTTTCTCAATTATGTCTACCATTATGGCAAAAAATGGAATATAGGACAATCAAAGAACAAAAATGAAAGAAAATTAAAAATGTAGAACTGTGTCCATTTTGTTGAAAATTTTGTAGCAATTAAATTTAATAAATGATATTACATTTACATATATATTTTATTTTACTTGTCAGTATGAAGGCTAATTACAATCTTATTGTTTTTCCCAATTTGACACAAATGTCGACAATTTTTCCCAACTGAAAAGGCCAGGCCCCTTTTAAAAATTGTAGAAAAATCACTGAGTGATCCACCCACTAAGTCTAGTGATCCACCCAATAAGTCAAGTGATCCACCCACTAAGTCCAGAGCACTCCACCCAGTAAGTCTAGTGTTCCATCTACTTAGTCTACTGATCCATTACTAAGTCTAATGGTCCACCCACTTAATATAATGGTCCACCCACTAAGTCTAGTGGTCCAGCCACTAAGTCAAGTGATCCACCCACTAAGTCAAGTGATCCACCCAATAAGTCCAGAGGTCCATGCAGTAAGTCTAGTGTTCCATCTACTTAGTCTACTGATCCACTTACTAAGTCTAGTGGTCTTCCCAATAAGTCTATTGGTCCACCCACTAAGTCTAGTGATCCACTCACCAAGTCTAATGGCCCACCCACTTAGTCTACTGATCCACTTACTAAGTCTAGTGGTCCACCCACTTAGTCTAATGGTCCACCCACTAAGTCTAGTGGTCCAGCCACTAAGTCTAGTGATCCACCCACTAAGTCTAGTGATCCACCCACTAAGTCAAGTGATCCACCCACTAAGTCCAGAGGTCCACCCAATAACTCCAGAGGTCCGCCCACTTAGTCTAATGGTCCAGCCACTAAGTCTAGTGGTTCAATCACTAAGTCTAGTGATCCACCCACTAAGTCAAATGATCCACCAACTAAGTCCAGAGGTCCACCCAGTAAGTCTAGTGTTCCATCTACTTACTCTATTGATCCACTTACTAAGTCTAGTGGTCCACCCACTTAGTCTAATGGTCCACCCACTAAGTCTAGTGATCCTCCCACTAAGTCTAGTGATCCACTCACTAAGTCCAGAGGTCCACCCAGTAAGTCTAGTGTTCCATCTACTTAGTCTACTGATCCACTTACTAAGTCTAGTGATCCACTTACTAAGTCTAGTGGTCCACCCACTAAGTCTAGTGATCCACACACTAAGTCTAGTGATCCACCCAATAAGTCTAGTGGTCCACCCACTAAGTCTAGTGATCTACTCACTAAGTCTAGTGATCCACCCACTTAGTCTAGTGATCCACTCACTAAATCTAGTGATCCACCCACTTAGTCTAGTGGTCCACCCACTTAGTCTAATGGTCCACCCACTAAGTCTAATGGTCCACCCAATAAGTCCAGAGGTCCACCCAGTAAGTCTAGTGATCCACCCACTAAGTCAAGTGATCCACCTGATAAGTCTAGTGATCCACCCAATAAGTCAAGTGATCCACCCACTAAGACTAGTGATCCACTCACTAAGTCTAATGGTCCACCCACTAAGTCTAATTTTCCACCCAATAAGTCCAGAGGTCCACCCAGTAAGTCTAGTAATCCACCCACTAAGTCAAGTGATCCACCTGATAAGTCTAGTGATCCACCCAATAAGTCTAGTGGTCCACCCAGTAAGTCTAGTGATCCATCTACTAAGTCTAGTGATAACCTACTAAATCTAGTAATCCACCTACTAAATCTAGTAATCCACCCACTAAGTCTAGTGGTCCACCAACTAATTCTAGTGATCCATACACTAAGTCCAGTGATCCACCTACTAAATCTAGTCATCCACCCATAAAATCTAGTGATCAATCCACTGTCTAGTCATCTACCCTCTAAGTCTAGTCATCCACAAATGAAGTCTAATGATCCACCTATCAAGTCTAGTTTCACAAACTTCTTCAGTTTTTATATGAGAACCCTGGAAAAGGAATTACACTTTCTAGGTCTGTGGGCCACAGTGCACACCTGAGCAACTTTTTTCTCCTGACATATGAGTTTGAGGTTATCTCTCTTTTTATATGGTCTATGAACCTTCAGGAAACTTTCTTTTAAATTCCAATTTTTTGATTGAGGTTTTAATATGACCAATCAAAATCATTTTGTTATTCTCTCACCAAGGGTAATAGGTTTTTGTTGAATAAACTTGAAACTGCTAAGCCAAGGGATGTTTTTTGCGAAGTTTTACTGCAATTAGTGGAGTGATTTTAAAGGAGCTTGGGGGGGGGGGGGTTGGCCATTTTTAGACTATATTGATCTCCTTTAGAAAAAGAGCTCCATATGAAGATATACAAAAATTATCAAATTTTAAAACTTAAATGCATGAAATTTTTCTTTCCCAAATGATAGTTGACAGCTTTAGAAATCATGTCTTAAATATGAAGTTATATCGGATGGTTAATTTGTTGACCCCACAGCCTCCTTAAAGGACATACACTTCTATGGACTGTGAATGGACCATCGAAATTTTTTTTTTCGGAAGTGGTAAGTGCATGACTTCAATCTTAGACTTCGACAGACAGTTAATAAATACGCATCACATAACTCAGTCTAAAAGGTGTTACGTATGAAAGATAGTCAAATTTATCTGTCACTCTGCTCATCATCCGAATGTCAATAAATTAACTAGAAATGTCAAACAAAGGCTAAAAATCCTACAAATGTTACATATATATGTGTTTATCTTAAAAAATACATTAATCTCACTTGGCAATGGACGGTCCATATATAGTTCTAATATTGTCCACATGGCTTGACCTGGCAGATGTCCTAACGTCTGCTATATTCTCCCCTTGCTTGAAGAATAAAAAAAAATGTATTTAGCAAAAATGAAACATTGGGGGAAAAAAATGTGACTTATGAGTAGTTACTGGATCATAAACCTGGTTTTTTGATATTCTACATTCTACAGGTCGGAGAGAATACTCGAAATCGGGTATTATCCGTGATATCGCGTATAATACCCGATATTAGGGTATCGTTGAATCTGCGAAATCGGGTATTCTGTGCAACTTTCTATAAAAACTAAAGAATAAAGCAACGGCGCATTATGCCAGTTACTGTTAGTTGTACATCAGTATCTTGTGGATTTATTTTTATTAAACCTAATTCATACGGTTGTCAAATAAGTTTAAAATCGCACGACAAACACTGCTGGGGTAACAAAGAGGACACAATGGCGTTATTATCTTTCAATGTAATTTCTAAAAACAAATAACTACACTTCGTTTGTCTTTATTTCCCATTAAAGTATTCCATATACTTAATTTTCTAATTAGTGCACTATTCACAAAATGTGAAACTTTAAAGAAATCAAACGACTAACGCCATGTTATGTATTTTTACTGAAAAATGTATGGCGTCCCTTTCACGAGAAATATAAATTATTCCTAACACTTAGAAAGTACAGTATAAGCGAGTGATAATTGTATATCTCTGCCATAATAGAATACCAACGTTATTATAAAGAAGAAAATAAAATAAGATTAAATAAATACCCACGGGAAAACAGGTTGAAAAATAGCTAATTGAAGGTGAGTATCGTTTTTATGTCAATTTAGCATGGAAATTTTTATTCAAAGACACCGTAAATTTTTTGGTTGCATTTTAATCGATACAAGATATGCTATTTTACCTTTATTTTATGCATTTGTGTGAAAATTGAGAGCGAGAAGTCATATGAACAGGATTTTCTTGTTTTTTTTGGGGGGGAGGGGGGGGGGCCGGGTTATAAATAAAAGTCAAATGTGTACATCTTTTCATGAGCTAATAATACATTGAATTTCTCAATATAGATCGAGATACAGTCATATTGAAATATGAATTACATAGTCAAGTTTTCACATTTCTTATAGTTTTTACATTTATGAACATGTCAATGAACAAACTGAAATAATGGAGTGTTCAATTGCCTTGGAAACTCTTGTCTTACTTTTTGGGAATATAATTCCTCATCGGACACTAAAATTTCATAAAAATTGTAGCCACTTCCTTTCTTTATTATATTATTTGATAGACAGGGTAAATTTTTCCTCTTTACCTCCTACATTTTTTATATCGCTATCTTATACCTCATTATAATATGTTAATACAACGCACTATCTGATTGGTTCTAGACAATATGTCACAGTTTTCTTTTAGTTATTTTATCTATGATACTTATTACTCATGGCAATAACTTTTCCTAATACTCATCTATAATGAAATCAAAGGCCTGAAGGGCCTGCGAGTTGACTCGCTAGAGTCAACTGAGCTTTTTCATACATCTGGGCACCATACCTTAATATATTCAGTTTATTTTGCATCTTAAGAGATTGAATATTATATGTCTGATCCATGTTCGGTTCATAGATAAAGTGTATGTTGCTTTTCCTTTATATATACAGGTTGGCACTAATGGGCTTCCATATTATTTTGACTGGATTCTATAATGAATTTAAGCACATTAGCTGAAGTGGTCAGTGTTATGGAGCAATTAGGTTAAAGATTCCCACAGCAAATCTGGAGTCTAAAAATAGATTTTCAACAACAACTAGCTGCAGCTAATGAGAGCAGCAGGTGTTTGTGTTAGGGAGTATTCTAGGTCAATTATAAATAAACTTCAGATGGGAAGATTAGATCCGCCTAACATGCTTGAACATATATTCATACACAGTAATTGTACATTACAGGTATTTAATCAAAATTTTCTTTAAAAGCATGAAGGCATAAATAATGTTACAGTATGAAATTTTATACAGTTTTCACCTCTTAAGTTTATACAATCACTCAAACCAAAGCATTTTTTGCTAGAACTATTATATCTGGCGTATGGATCACCTTGATGAATGCGTGATAAATTTTACAGCTCTGAAACGGCTATGTCAACAGGGAGCATACATGTTAACCTGAAGTGGTGAAAAAGAGGGAGATTTTTACCCCAAAAGAGGGAGCATTGTGCGCGACATTTTTCGCAGCATTTTTTTGCTAAATATTCACCCCATATACCTATTATAATGAATAAAGAGATGAAAAACAATACTAAACTAGTGCTAATTGTAACGGGGACCGTTACAGATGTTCCCCAAACGCTCCCCAACTCCTTTTTGGTGCCATATTCCCTGTAAGCTTCATTAAATAAGACAAACTCTGTGCATTTTTAACTTTAACAACGTTTTCTCAGAAGAATACCAATTATACTCAAATTTTAGGATTGCACCCTTGTGCATGTGAATGTATGTCCGTTATGATCACATCATCTTGTCTACACTATCTACAAATTTTAATATACAATATATTAAAGCATTCAGTCAAAAAGTAAGAAAAATCACTCTTTCAAGTGTATTTTTCATTTCACTCGTTCCAAATGCACGCACGTGCGTGCACGTGCATGATGACCATACCTTCTTGTAGCAGTCCCTAATATCTATCTATATTCTAAATCCCAACCTCTTTGGTTGAAAAACAAGGGAGTTATAGCCATTTCAAGTTTAAGCCAATCAGATTGCAGCACACGTGCATGCGTGTGATTTCATGATTTTTTTCTTTATCATATTGTAGGATATCCTAATGCATGACTATGTTTTAAATTTCAAAGCATTTCGTCAAAAAACAAAGGAAATATAGCCATTTAATGTTTCAGCCAATCAGATTGCAGCACGCAGGCATGCGCATGCTTTCATGAAAATTCTTATAAATCATGCTGTAGATCTTCATAATATGAGTCTGTGTTCAAAATTTCAAAGGATTATGACAAGAAACAAGAAAGATATTGAGAATTTAATTTCAGCCAATCAGAGCGAAGCACACGTGCATGCGCGTGAGATCTTACTTTTTTGACCATGTCATTTTGTCTATGCTTCTAATATATACTTATAATATGAGTTTCAAAGCATTTCATCAATAATTTAAATAGTTACGTAAGTATCAATTATATTGGACGTTTCTCGCGTTGCACGTGCGAGCTCTTGCAAGCACATGTGCATGCACATGCTTTCATGATAAATCTTATATTACAGACTGTAGATCTCCCTAATGTATGACTATGTTCAAAATTTCAAATGATTTTATCAAAAGACAAAAAAGATATTGAGACTTTAGTTTCAGCCAATCAGAGCGAAGCGCACGTGCATGAGCGTGCGATCTTGCTATTTTGACCGTGTCATCTTGTGCATACTACTAATATATCCTTACATTATAAGTTTCAAAACATTTCGTCACAAAATAGAAAAGTTACGGTTATATCCATTATATATTGGTCATTTTAAGTTTTGCACGTGCGCGCTCTTGCAAGCACGTGCGCGCAAAATGACCTTGATTCCGCAAATCTACATAACATGCCTACTTACCCTAAAAAGGTTTCACCTAAGTCGGATGTGTAGTTTACAAGATCACTCGCGGACAAAATTTTCCCAGGAAGAAAAATAATAATAATAAGAATAATAACTAGTGCTAATTGTAACGGGGACCGTTACAGATGTTCCCCAAACGCTCCCCATTTCCCTTTTGGTGCCATATTCCCTGTAAGTTTCATTAAATAAGACAAACTTTATGCATTTGAGACTTTAACGTTTACCCAGAAGGGTACCAAGTTCATTCAGATTTTAGCATTGCACGCATGCGCATGTGAATGCGTGTGCGTAATGACCATATCATCTTATCTACACAATCTATATACTTATACTAAATATTAAAATATTTAATCCAAAAGTATTAAAAAAATACGCTCATTCAAGTGTCTTTTTGATTTTACTCATTCCACGTGCACGCACGTGCATACATGAACATGGTGACATACCTACTTGTGAAAGTCCATTACATCTATCTATGTTCTAAATCCCACTCAGTTTGGTTGAAAACCAAGGGAGTTATAGCTGATTAAAGTTTCAGCCAATCAGATTGCAGCGTACGTTCACGCACGTGTATGGATGTGCATGGTGATCATACCTTCTTGAAGAAGTCCATTATATCTATCTATGTTCCAAATCTCATCCTGTTTGGTTGAAAAATAAGGGAGTTATAGCTATTTAAAGTTTCAGCCAATCAGATTGCAGCGCACGTACACGCACGCGTATGAATGTGCATGGTGACCATACCTTCTTGTAGAAGTCTATTATATCTATCTATGTTCCAAATTCCATTCTGTTTGATTGAAAAACAAGGGAGTTATAGCCATTTAAAGTTTTAGCCAATCAGATTGCAGCGCACGTGCATGCACGTGCTTACATGTCAATTGTTATATATCATATTGTAGTACATCCTAAAGTATGCCTATGTTTTAAATTTCATAGCATTTTGTCAAAAAACAGAAAAGATATTGAGATTTTTGTTTCAGCCAATCAGAGTGAAGCGCACGTGCATGCGCGTGAGTTCATGCTAATTTGACAGTGTCACATTATCTACAGTATTAATATATCTTTATATAATGAGTTTCAAATCATTTCATAAAAAAATGTAAAAGTTATAGCTATATTAAGTATATCAGTCAATTCACTCATTTCACGCGCACGCACGTGCAGGCGTATGCGCGCAAAATGACCTTCGTTCCGCACACCTACACAACACACCTATTAACCCTAAAAAGGTTTTAGCTCAGTTGGATGAACAGTTTCTGAGAACACTCGCGGACAAAAAAAGTACCGGAGAAGAAATAAGAAAAAAAATAATAATGTATGCCTATGTTTTAAATTTCATAGCATTTTGTCAAAAAACAGAAAAGATATTGAGATTTTTGTTTCAGCCAATCAGAGTGAAGCGCACGTGCATGCGCGTGAGTTCATGCTAATTTGACAGTGTCACATTATCTACAGTATTAATA